TACTTCAGTAAACGTTTTTAAAGTAAAGGTAGATTTTTTTTGAACAATAAAGGAATTAAGGGTTACGGTGAGAACGCGGGTAAGTGGATCTGAGTCCACGAAAAGATCAGCCATGATCTTATTGAATGGCGGAGCAGGCTCGAAGGGCCAGACGGCCTACTCCTGCTCCTAGTTCTTATGTTCTTATGTTCTTAACTGCTCCCTAAACAACCTCCACATTTCTGTCATGCATTTCCCTGAGAACATCTGATCTCAATTCGTGCTTCACAGTTCCTGCCGAATAGCATTGTAATTCCCCCTCCCCCAATTAAATACTTTCCCATACCGTCTGCTCCTATCCCTGTCCATGACTATACTAAACGTCAGGGAGTTGTGATCACTATTACCGAAACGCTCTCCCACCGAGAGATCTGACATCTGACCTGGTGTCAGATGCTGGAGTCAGAGGTAACACAGTGTGGAGCTGGAGGAACACAGCAGGCCAGGCAGCATCAGAGGAGCCGGAGACCCTAGAATGCGGGTCTAGACCCGAAACATTGACTCTCCTGCTCCTCTGAAGCTGCCTGACCTTGAAGGGAAGGTATGCTGAAGCTGTGGCAGCTACTGAGTTAGTTTGTGGAGGAGAGGCTGAGCAGGACAAGACATTGATTATGAACCAACGAGGCAAAAGTTGAAAGCCCAGTTTCTCTCAGGGATCCTGGTAACAGGACAAACTGTGTCCAGGAAGACCCTTCTGAGTCCAGACACGACTAACCAATCCCATGGATTGCAGCATATTCTCAGTGAGGTGAATGGAAATGAAGACCGGGATGTGGTGAAAAGTGGGAGCAGTTTTAATGCTACATTATTATCCAGCGTGAAAACTACTGCCATTGGATCCTTGGGTCAAACTCTTTGCAACCGGTACTTCTTATTGGTTAAGAAATGTTATAATGAATATGTGAGTCATACAAAGATGAATGGGAGAATGGCAGCTGTTTATGGGAATGGTTTTGTTTTTAAAGTGAACATAGACTGAACAATTCCAGAATCCTGACTATTTGGTATGTTACTTTTCCCCAATGTGCGTCTCCGTTAGAAATATTTTACCAGCCAGAGGCTGGTCTAAAATGAGCGTGTGATGTTGATTTCCTGGCAGCTGATTCCATGAGCTGTGTTTACGTCAGGTTTCCTGTGTCACAGATATTACAAAGCCATCAAACAGTGAATTTACCCCCACAGTCAACAGGCGAGATCAGCAACTCCCCACCAATGGCCAAAGCATTCCACCAAAACCTTGTTCTACTCGCGCTGTTATTCTTACCTACAGCACTTAACCAATTGAATCAAGGTAAGATTCATATTTTATCTTGTTAACAAAGTCAACATATTTTTGTGAAAGCGTGTTTCAAGTTCTTTGAACAGATGGATAACTGTGATGTGATGCTTTTGGATTCTCAAGAGGCAGCTGATGAGATGCTGCATTCTGGTTAATGTATGAGATAAGAGTGCATGGTGGTGATGGTTTCACACAGACACTGGCCTGGTTAAAAGACAGGAAGCAATTTGCCATTTTCAAATATACACTGTACCTTGTGGAGTGCTACAGGGATCACAGCTTGGGCCTTGGCTAGTTCTTGATATTGCTACGTATTAGTGAATTGTGACTGTATTTGCTGATCGATGCAAAGGAAAGCAAATTGTAACAATGCAAAGAGTCTGCAAAGAGATAAAAATAAGTGAAGTGACTGCATGAAGATAGAGTGGAAAAAAGTGAGTTTGATTACTTTGGTAATAAAAATAAAAGAAACAGAATATTACTGGAAGGAAATGTGGTGGAGTCAGGTTTAATCGAGGTAATCAAAAGGTCATTGAGTAATTACTTGAATTGGAAGAATGTGAAGGGTTATGGTGAAGAGGCAGAGATAGTAAGAACTGCCGATGCTGGAGTCAGAGATAACACAGTGTGGAGCTGGAGGAACACAGCAGGGCAGGCAGCATCAGAGCAGCAGGAAAGCTGACGTTTCGGGTCGGGACCCTTCTTCGGCAAAAAAAAGGCATCCCTGTGTAGCATAAAAATGCTGCAATTGTGTAAAAGCTGAATACTTGTTCACTGGACTGAGACCTGGAATGATTGTCTAATGAGGAACTGTTAGACAGGCTGGGCTGGTGTTGAGGAGATTGAGGGGTGACCTGATTGAAGTGTATAAGACCTGGAATAATCTTGACAAGGTGGATGTGCAGTCTGTCCCTTGTGTGGGTCTGCTCAAACCAGGCGGCACTGTTTTAAAATTAGGGCCCACCCTTTTAGGACAGAGACGAGAATTTTTTTTCCCTTGGGCTGTTGTGTAACTGAGAGAACAGTTTGCCTCAGAAGGGGGTGGATCTGGGGGACTTTCAATATTTTTAAGGTGGGGGTGGATGGACTCTTGGCTGGGGGTCACAGTTATCAGGGGATTGTGGAATTCAAAACACCAAGAGGTCAGTCATCGCTCAAGAGGCCAACTAGCTATTCCTGCGTCTAATTTGTGTGTTTGAGTGTTGATGAATAGAGAAAGACTGTGGACTACTGTGATAGAGATGGATCTAGGTGTCCCTGTACCTGAATCACAAAATATTACTTTTTTCATTCATTCATGGGTTGTGGACATCGCTGGCTAGGCCCAGCATTTATTATCCATCCCTAGTTGCCCCCCTGAGAAGGTGATAGTGAGCTGCCTTCCCAAACCACTGCAGTCCATATGCTGTAGGCACAGTAAACATGCAGGGACAACAAGAAAGTGGGCAGGCAAAGAAGGGTCTAGGCCTTCTGATGCTGTTTGGCCTGCTGTGTTCATCCAGCTCTACACCTGGTTATCTCAGGCAAACAGAATGTTGGCCTTTAGGAATGGAATATAAAGTAAATTAAGTAACGGTACACACTGTTGATGAGACCACATGTGGAGTATAGTTTAAAGACTTGGTCTCTCTCCATGAGCAGTGTTGGAAATACATTGAAAGACGCTCAGAGAAGTCCTCACTCGGGTGATCTCTGGGATGATGCTGTTGGACTGGGGTGGACAAGGTCAAAAATCGCACGACACCAGGTTATAGACCAACGGGTTTATTTGAAAACAGAAGCTTTCAGAGCGCTGCTGTTTCCTCAGGCGTAGTGTGAGAGAGAGGGTATAAGACACAGAATTTAAAAGCAGAAAGGTAACACCCCTACAACTGACCACCTCTTGTCGAATCTTTAAATTTAGGAAGGAGACTAAGGATAAAATGCAAACTCCAGATTCCTCTCAAGTCATTATACTGAGATAACTAATGGTTTATCAATGTGTACAAGAGGTGACATCTCAGGTCAGACAACACATTTTAGGTGTGAAGTCTCGCTTACAATCTGTTTATTTTTAAACTGGGGTTGGGTTTTACTTGTTTGAGCAAACTGGAATATATCTGGAACTACACAAACATCTTGGATGGAATAGTTCATCTGTGTGTGTGTGACTGTGTGTCTGTGTGTGTTTGTGTGTATGTGTGTGTGTATGCGGGTGTGTGTATGTGTGTTTGTGTGCGTATGTGTGTGGCTGCATATGTGTGTGTGTATGTCTGTGAATGTGTGTGCGTGTGTATGTGTGGGTATGTGTTTGTGTATGTGTATGTGTGTGTATGTATGTGTGCATGTGTGTGTGTGTATGTGTGTGTGTATGTGTATGTGTATGTATGTGTGTATGTGTTTGTATGTGTGTGTGTCTGTATGTGTGTGTGTATGTTAGTGTGTGCCTGTGTATGTGTGTGTGTATGAGTGTGTGTGCATGTGTGTGTGTGTGTGTGTGTGTATGTGTGTGTGTGCATGTGTGTATGTAAGTGTGAGTGTGTGTTTGTGTGTGTGTATGTGCGCACATACACACACACATACACATACACAGACACACACATACATACACACACACATGCGCGCACATACACACACACAAACACACACTCACA